AACCTTAAAAGTGACCATGAATTTTCACCCCAAAAAAACTTGCTCAAACTCATGGCCACTTCCATCATCACATGGAATACTCAAAAAAAACCATTTACTTCTTAGAACCTCAAAACTCATCTATGTTCTATGGACACTGCGATATAGAATCTTTCTTCTGTAACAATTGTGGACAAGACAGAGGAAAAACGTCGATCGCGTAACCAGATACATCCTTGCATTTCCATTTCTCAGTTTCCGGTAACCCGAGAAGCGTAACATTCCTCAAACATATGTCTTGAAACGATGCGCCTTCAACGCCAAGCAACATTGGGGCCTTTCTCGAGTTCAGACTCACAACGTTGCTAATATAGATACCTTTTACTCTCGGAATAGCTTTCGGATCCCATTTGTCGTCCGGGTGATCGTTTGACCCTCTGCTGAATCTAATAGGAACTTTCACTTTCTCTAACAACACATTATTAATGGTGATATTCGAAATGTACCCGCCTCTCCCTTTATCGGATTTTATGCGAAGTCCAGCCGCGGAATCCCAAACGTGAATGTCTTCAATGGTTATGTTGAAAATCCCACCAGACATCTCACTGCCTATTCCAACTCCAGAACAAGTGCGCGTAGTACCAGAGATCCGTCTGATTATGATGTTTGAACTTGGATGTGCCATGGCCATACCGTACTGGTCCCACCCACTCTTCACAGCTACAAGGTCATCGCCGCTTTCAATATAGCAGTCCTCAATGCAGACATTGGTGCTAGAGTCTACAATTTTATTCAGAGAAATAAGATTAAGGTACTCAGCTATAAATACGGGTGATTACAAAGAAGAAGACACAAGATATGAGTAACACTCTGGCCTTAATTGGTTTAGAGTGTATACACTAGGCATATAACAGCAAACACAAGATCAAACAAACAATCGAGGCCAGGATAGAGAATTTACCTGGATCTATACCATCGGTGTTAGGGGCATTCATCGGAGCAAGGATGGTCATATTTCTAATAACAACATTGCTGTACAAAAAAACCCGAAAATGTCATCGACCCTTGTAACTCAGAAGTCAGCATAAATGCAGCAAAAATAGTTGGAGGTTATTAAGAACCTGCAGTAAACAGGATGGATTGTCCAGAAAGGAGAATTGAGCAAAGTGAGGTTAGAGATGAGTATATTATGAGAGTTCTTGATTTCAATAAGATGGCCTCTCGTATGCACCAATGTTCTGTTCCACCATAATTCCCACCACATTTTCCCCTGTCCATCAATTGTCCCATTTTCTCCTGTAAAAAAATAGTTTAGATGTGTTTCTTTTAGAACTAATTAGACTGATTTTGATTTGTTACAGAGAATCAAAGTGTAGACACTAAACCAAAGAGAGTAACAAACCGAAAAGCCAAGATGTTAATTCTAGAGAACTGCAAACTTTCCTAAACCTAGTCAACCGAAACTGCTTCTCATCATAGCTATAGATCAGCTGAGCTAGCTAGAGTAGAGACTATGGCCAAAACAGAGCGTTTGCAAGAGAAATATATCTTTCAGTTTAAGCGGAAACATGTAACACGAAATTTGTCCTTCCCTTTGATTTTGGCCCTTGCTATCACGTTTTACAAACATTTTTTTACTAAAACACTAAAGGCTGCGGAGTCATCTGAAGGAAAACACAACTACGCATAAATAACCGAGAAGCCCTAATATATGACATAAAATTGTTCTTCATTTTCAAATCATTTCTGTTTCCAGTTTAACTCCCACTGATATCTATCTTCTGATGCTTATACGACTACCATCAGTTTAGAACAGTTAAGCAAATACCACACAATTGGATACTGGATTATAATCTCGAATTTATATTCATGCCAAGGAATGAGAAACATTGAAGTAATATAGTTGCATATGTTCTTACCAAAAGCAAAGAAAGCAGGCCAAAATTGTTCAATAAAATCAAACCGTAGATACAAGCTCGGGCTAATGACGAACAAATTAAAGTAACTATATTTTCAATGAGTAAAAAGAGCAAAGTACCTGTAATGACAACATTAGTGAGATTGTCTCCATGAATGAGGCTAATGTGTCTACCACCAGGTCTCTCTCTCCCTCTTCCATAAGAAGGCAGTGGCTCTATTATCGGCCATTCGTCTATGTCCTATCAACCAAGACAAAAGATTTTAGATATTGTAAGTGCGAACAGTTCACATAAACTTAAATAATGGGAACAAAGAAAGTAAATCTAATGTATCTATTATTCGTAGAGCTGACTTTTGAGTTTACATGACACATGAAAATGAGCT